GGCGTCGGGGTGGCGGCGGCGGCCTGGACGCGGTGCGCGCAGTGCGCCATCTCGCGGTCGTGCTGCACGATCTGCTGGATGATCTCGTTCTCCTGGTAGTTGAAGACGCCCGAGTTGAGGTCGTGCTGGACTTTGTGCAGGAGAATGGAGTTCTTCTTGCCTGCGCACAGAACCGCAGCGGCGCTCAGGCCGGCCCAGGAAGGGGCCAGGAGGGCCGGGCAGCGCTCCTGCGACCGACCCGCCCTCCACCCGCTCGCAGCCCCTCACCGATGCGGTCCAGGCGGTCCAGCGCCACCGTCTCGAAGGCGCGCCGCATCATCGGGTACTCCTCCAGCACCTCGTTGAAGTTGTCCACGCTGAGCGAGTAGAGGCGGCAGTAGGTGTCCGCCCGCACGCTGGCCGTGCGCCGGCCCCGGGTCAGCAGGCAGATCTCTGCGGGGACAGCAGGACTGAGCGCAGGGCACCACAGGCCGCAGGGGCCGGCCACCGACCCGGGTCTCCACTGCCCGGGATGGAAGCGTGACAGGCTCGGAGGCCCCAGCATGGCTGTGAGCAAGTGGAACGCCACCACCCCATGTGCCGCACCGTCTGCTTCTGAGTGCTCTGCACCCACCCCTCGCTTACGTGTTGAGACTCAGTGTGACGGCGTCAGGAGGTGGCCACCAGGGTGGGGCACTGGTGAAAGCCAAGGAGCAGTGAGGACAGGGAGGGCTAGCTCTCCTCCTCCGCCCAAGCATACAGCTAGAGGTGGGGCGTCCAGGACGGCCCTCACCAGGACCCAAGCCTGCTGGCACCTGATCTTAGACTTAGAGATGCCAGAACAGGGAGACTGTTTCTGTCCGTCAGCCTCAGGGCGATGGTGCTACAGCCATCCTCTCTCTGGGCTGTGGTCCCGAAGGGCCCCAGGGGCCCCTGTCCTTCCTGTGTCTCCCCTCCCACTCCCTGGCAGTGGCCCTGCCTCCCCAGGGCCCCGCAGCTCACCCCCGAAGTAGGAGCCGTCGGCCAGCTTGGTCTCCTTGTTGCCCTTGGTCAGCACGCTGACCACGCCGTGCTGGATGAAGTACATCTTCTTGCCGATGGTGCCCTCCCGGATGATGTAGTCCCCGGGCTGGAAGACCTCGAACTTGAGCTTGGTCAGCATGGACGTCACGAAGTTGGGGTCGGCGTTGGCGAACAGCGGCATGGAGGCCACCAGCTTGCGGCAGTTGAAGTTGATGATCTCCTGCTCGCCGTGGGGTGGGGTGGGACAGAGAAGAGGGTGGTGAGGGCGCTGCCGGCCAGGAAGGCAGCCCGTCCCCGCGGCCGGCCCCGAGCGTACCTCCCGCAGCGGCTCGCTCAGCTCCCCGAGGATGCTCTCCTCGTCGAACATCTTGCCCTGGTAGCGGTGCTCGTAGTAGTCATGGATGCGCTGCCGTGTGTCGGGCGGGAGCTTGTGGAAGGACATGTACTGCTCCACCTGCTTGTACTGAGGCCCGAGAGAGGGACAAGGGTCAGCTCCCAGGAGCCGGCCCCCTGCCCAACTGGCACTGCCCTGCCTCGGGCCTGCCGGTGCCCGGTGTTGGGCACTGCCCCCGGGGCGTTCTCAACCAACATCGGTTCCTTGCGATTTGAGCTTTGATGTGCTGTCATCACACCGTGCTCGCGACGACCCCAATGCCCAGCTTCTTGAGGGGAGGGCTCTGTCCCGTCCTCCTCATGTTCCGCTATGGAGAGCAGTGGGGGCCCACGGGGACTGTGCACAGCCCATGGCCAGGAGGTGGGTGTGGTCTCCTCTCCCCAGCTGTCATGTGCACACCGGGGGCAGAGGCCTCCCGGGCTCTGGCTCCTCCAGGGGAAACGAGCTGGCACAGCGACCAGGGCTGGGCAGTGGTGGGTCAGAGCAGTCGGAGGCCAGTGCGAGGACACCTGGCCTACTAACAGGGACGTATTCACGCGGCCTCAGCTGAGATCCCGAGGCATCCCAGAATGCAGCTCCGGAAAAGCAGAGCAGAGCGAGAACCTTCAGCCAGAGGTTTGGGTGCCTGGATGCCTGTGAGGAGGGGCGGGCAGGGTAGAAGGGGAGTCTGCCTCGCTAGCCGATGCGGACAGCTTACCCTGGGCCGAGAGGCAGCCCAGGGCTTGACATGCTCGACCCCCTCCTTGCAAACCTGGAGGTGGAGCACCCGTGTTGCCCCCCTCACGCATGAGGGGGTGTGCAGAGATGTGAAGGGGCATGCCCATGCCCACAGAGCTGGCCGAGGAGAAGCTGCGGTTAGGACCCGGGCGGCCGACTCTGGGCCAGCTCAGCCATTGTGACTAGAAAACCGTATAGTGACGTGTGGAAGAGGGGGACACTGGTGACGGGGGGACACCGCCAGCAGGGATGAAGAGAGTGGCTTGTGGGAGGCACAAGTGACAGACATCGAGGGCGGCCCCTGCGCCGGGGCTGGGTGCCCGTGCTACCACTGCCCACCAGTGAAACAAGGGTACGGAGGTCGGGCTGGGAGGGCACTTTACTTGGCATGTGGTGAGGTCGAGGTGTCCGGGAAGGCATCGCGGAGCCCGCGTGGGCAGACACGGGCGGGCTGGCTCTGTGAACCGGGCTACACTGCTCACGCTTGGACACAGAGCAGGCAGGCCGGGCCCAGACAGTGACACCCGGGAAGACCAGAGAGAGGACTGGAAAGCTTCTGCCCAAGCCACCCAAGACTCCAGCCGGTGGTGACAGCAAAGGAGAGCAAGACGGACAGGCCAGAGGCAGGAGAGGCAGGAGCGTGCGTTCGTGGAAACCAAGAAGACAGCGGAGACCGTCAAGTGGGGCTGAGTGGCAGGAGCGCCCCAAAGGACCACGGAGGGCACTGGCCCCTTGGTCAGAGACGGGCCCAGCGCCCCCAGCAGGGAGGAAAGGCGGTGCAGGTTGAGTAACGGACAGGTTCAAGGCCACGGGGCTGAAGCGGCTCTCACCTAAGAGGCCCCCCTCCCGCCCCGTCCCTCCCGGGAGTCCAGATGGCAGGGCTGGCGTCTGCACTGCCCCTGGGTTAGGCCCGGTGGGCAGCTCCTCCCGGAAGACCGGGCTCCCACGGTCCTGGACCTACCTTCTCCTGGTACTGGCGCCGCGAGGAGTCCAGGGACTGGATGAGGGCGGTGGCGTGGCCGATGAACATGGCGTAGCAGGTGGCGCCCACGATCATGCTGAGCATGGTGAGCCACACGTCGGACATGCCCACAGGCGCCTGGCGGCCGTAGCCGATGCACAGCATGTGGCTCATGGCCTTGAAGAGCGCGTAGGAGTACTGCTTGCCCCAGGAGTTGTTCTGTGGACAGGCAGGGCAGGGCAATGGGCTCGGGCCAGCCAGAGGGGAGGCCCTTCCCCGGGGCTCCCGGAAAGGCCCTGCTGCCTCCCAGTCCTGTGGAACTCTGCCCAGAGGCCGAGCTTGCTGCTTGCCTTGGGTGAGGGGGGGTCTGGCCCAGCCTCACCTTGGCCCCCCGGGGCACCTGGAGCCTTGGGGCTGAGCCACCCTTCT